TTGCCCACCGCAACAGGCTCGAGTGTGTGCGCCAAAGTGGCCCAACCGCAACCCAACCGGCAGCCGTCGCTGACGCCACAACTGCATCACTCGACGCCATCTTTGTGACCTTCTCCGCTCGACGCTCCTTTGGCTCCCCGCCGCTTCAACGCCTCTTCCCGTTTCCTTTCTCGCCTCGCCACGACACTAGCCCGACCAACCAGCACAACACCCACACCCACACCCACACCCACACCCACACCCACATACACATACACACTCACCCCCCACCCCACCCCCACACGCACGCATGCACACTTGTACTCACAGACGAGGCAACCCGATCAAACCGACGTAGAGGCAAAAAAGAGCCAATTGTGTGTCTAGACCACTCCATTTCGGCTACTTGGTGCTGTTGTCAGGGCAACGCACTGCATTCTCTGCCGTTGTTTCAGTGTCCACTTGCGATGCTGGAGGGTTGAATGGGTCCATTTGCAGACGGTTCGTCGGCCGCGTAGTCGACAACGTCAACGAGAAGCGCCGGTCTTGTTGGCCAGTTGGACGACGCGTGAAAAGGAGAGGAAAAGTTGTTCAAATGCCTTTCCCCAACCTTCCGTTTAACGTCGTTTCGACGTGAGTAGTAGCATCAGTAGTATTTGAGTGAGAAATTGGTCAGACCAGATTAGCCTGTGGAGGTAAAATTCAAAGTGGGCCAGTCGTGTCGCTAATTGGGAAAGCAAGACTATGTGAAATTGAATGGAAACGACAGCTCAACTCATATGATTGTGGGAAAATTCTTCTTCTACCAGTCCTTCATCAGCTTAAACAGAATTGGGTGAATACATCTCACACTACTGATTTACTGGTAGTCACTAAAACAATAATTAATTTGAAAAATATGTGAAATTGAATGGAAACGACAGCTCAACTCATATGATTGTGGGAAAATTCTTCTTCTACCAGTCCTTCATCAGCTTAAACAGAATTGGGTGAATACATCTCACACTACTGATTTACTGGTAGTCACTAAAACAATAATTAATTTGAAAAATATGTGAAATTGAATGGAAACGACAGCTCAACTCATATGATTATGGGAAAATTTTTCTTCTTCTACCAGTCCTTCATCACCTTAAATGAAATTGGGTGAATACATCTCATACTACTGATTTACTGATGGTCTCGAAACTCTACTCAAATACGAAAACATCTTCTTGCCACAGCGCTCAGGACTGTTGGCAATTGTTGCATGTGCCAAGAACAAAGTGGGTTTCGACAAGTCTCTTGAGCTGGTAGCATTGTTGCGCAGAGTGTTGGTTTGCCCTCGTCTTACCAACTCGTTTGGAGTGGCAGAGAGACCTTGTCAACGTGATGGCATCCAGTCTCGTCTGCTCTCGACTCTTTCTGATGTGACCGCCAGCTTCGGAGCCTCGACTTGCTACAGTTGCGGAGAGTTGCAACTTGGCACTTTAATTCGTTGAAATTGTGCAGAAAGAAAAGTTAACTGGGTTCAGATGAATCTCTTCTCGCCAGCAACGCAGTCGACACGACATCCGCTGAGCTCATGAAACTGGCGACCTTTTCAGTTGGTCTGACAAGGTGTATGTGTGGGGGGTGAGTGATTCATAGCTTGGCCACACCGGGTACCGAAGGAGGCTCGTCTTGGGCCAACCAAATAATGAAATGTGTGAATAAACTGGCAAAGTCAAGCATACAAAATGGGTAACACATCAGCTGACCGCCTTTCTTGGTTTATTCGTTTTTGCTGATCGTTCGGAAATAAAGTCTCCCGGCTCTGACGATGTCCGCGACATGACGGACGGTAGCTCAGCACCGACTCGTCGGAATCGTAGAACAGAGAGTTTCATTTTGCACGAACGTGTAAGAAGAAGAGACGCCAAGGTCGATCCGACCGGAAGACGACGTTGTAGCGCAGCCGTTTGGTTTCATGCGACGTCGCCGCTCGTCTCGGGTTCAAATGGGATGAGCTTGCGCCACATCAATTGACGCACCTCATCAGAGCTGGAATTCAATCTTGTAAAAGTGTCACGCAACACTGACCCTCTTTGATTAACCTTTTGTCGACGTAAGGCTTTTGCAAGAACGAGTTCCAGCTCTGACGATGTCCACCATTTGACGGAAGAAACGAGGGTCCAGGTCTCTTTGACTGCGTCTTGAAAGTCGTCTTCCGGAGGGAGCTACGACCTATCCTCTTCATTCGGCACATTTAACTGCTGAAACAGTGTCTCCAAAACGAGACATTTACTCAGCGACTCGGTTTTGAATGCCCTCTTTGAACATTAGCTTATGCCATTTGGAATAATGACCAAATTGTCATTCACGGTCTGCGGATGGTGTCGAAGCCGAATCATTCGGAATGCATGCCCTCTTCCAATACCGGATCTTTGAGTGCTACATTCGCAGACGACAGTGTTAGCAACAAACTGCACCTCGTCGGAGAGGCTGGGAGAGTCGAACCTCATGACGGATTGTTCGCTCAACTAAAGGCCACAAAATCCTATTAAAATTAATTGTCGGTAGGCTCGTTGAGTCTCATGGCGAATGCATGTTTGCCCATCGACGATATGACCGTGGAATGCAATTTTGGAGAGGACCGACTTGTCCTGAATGGAATCTCGGAAAGGCCAAGGGGACTTCAATGATGGCTTCGTGTCCAGTCTTGTGGATGTGGAGAAAACGAAAAGCTCAGTCCGTGGAGCACTTTAAGCAACTTACTTCCATTTCCAATGAAGGTGTTGGGTGAAGAGATTCCAAGGTCGATCGCACCAGAAGATGACGGTAGATTCCTCTTGACCACGCTGAGCCTTCATCCCTCCCAGCGACATCGTCAGAGCCTGACAACAGCCTCGCAAGCATATTCAAGAAGACTCGCCTACTCCTCCCTCCTGGAGGCTGTAGTACATGCCATAAATCGAAATTGTCTGATGCCGGAATCGGAGCAGATTTCCTCGAAAATGCGAATAAAAGTTGGGTTTCGAGGAATCTCTTCTTTCATTATTGTTGAGCTTACTTCCATTTCGAGCGAAAGTGTTGCGTGAAGAGATTCGAAGCTCGTTCCACCAGAAGACGACGGAAGATTCCTTTTGACTAACTGTCGATTGGCTTTACTGGAACATTCATGTGGACGCTGTTTCCGAGGCAATCTCCTTTGGTTCCGGTGAAAAGGTGCTGAGCTTTCGTCCGTCATGTGACGAACATCATCAGAGCGAGGTATCATCGTCACAACCAAATTCAAGCTAACGAGTCATGAAAACCCATCTGCAAATCCCTAAAAAGTGGTACATATACTCTACATCTGGCCTCTCTGATCAAGTATAAAGTGATTTGTAGGAATGTGTTTAGGGTTAGGGTTAGGGTCCCCCTGACAACAAGACCAAGTTACGACAACGAGGTAGACCCATTTCTATAAATTGAGAGGAGACTGCGACCATACCAGAGGCCACAACATCTTTATCTTCATATATTCAAATAAATTGATTTGGTTAGTTAAGGTCATATGTCAACTCAGATGCCTGTGAGTGTGTCTGTCTCTCTGGCATATATACAGAGACAGACACACTCACATGCATCGAAGTAGCTAACCAAATCACTTTAAACTTGATCAAAGAGGCCAGATGTAGAGTATAGGTACCACTTTTTAGGGATTTGCCGGTAAGTTTTCTTGACTCTTTAGCTTTCTCCGAAATTGTTCGTCACATGACGGACGAAAGCTTAGCACCTTATTACCGGAATCGAACGAGATTGCCTCGGAAACAGCGTCAGCATGAATCATCCAGTAGAGCCAATTAACGGCTGGTTAAGAGGAATCCAGCATTGTCTTCTGGTGGAACCGAGCTTCGAATCTCTTCACCCAACACTTCCACTCGAAATGGAAGTAAGCTCAACAATAATGAAAGAAGAGATTCCTCGAAACCCAAATTTTCTTCGCATACTGGAATGTTCTTGTTGAGGCTATTTTCGAGGAAATCTGCTCCGATTCCGGGAAAAACTTGACAAGCTTTCACCCGACCTATGACGGACATCCTCAGCTGACGAGCCGAGAAAAGGCATCAGACAATTTCGATTTATGGCATGTACTACAGCCTCCAGGAGGGATGAGTAGGCGAGTCTTCTTGAATATGCTTGCGAGGCTGTTGTCGCTGGGAGGGATGAAG